CTTAGAAGTTAAGAACCTTCTGAAGGGCATGTTTTATTACACCAGGAGAATGGCCTTCTACCTTGGATGAAAGAAGCTCCATGTAAGTGTAAGGATTAAAAAGAAAAGATATCCTTTTTGGAAAACAGCAAAAAGGAGACTAGAATGTGAATTTTGGAAACCCTTAATAGACTTTTGCTGACCAGGACTGACTGACGAGGCTTTAAAGATTTGTTTATAGGTAACAGATGAGATATGGAAAGAAGAGGTCGTTTGTTGTGTTTTAAGAGAAGGTGATACGTTACTAAAATTGTTTATACTTGCCGTTATGAAGAGGGAAGTCATTTCTTCATGTCTTTTCTTTTTCTTTACTATATTCTTATTTTTCTTGCTTTTCTTTTTTCTTTTCTGCACTTTCTATTTTTTATATACTCTTATTTTTTAGTTTATATTGGTTCTTATCTTTTTAATTGTAAAGTTTAATAAAATGATTATTAAAAATGAAAGATAACAAGAAGATAAAAATAAAACAAAAAAATCATATGGCAGCAAAACATACTGAGAGTGCATTCCATTAATTTTCATACAGCCATCTAGCAGGCTTCCCTCTATCATGGGACCCCCAAGCTAGTTGACAAAACCATGGTTTAAGGGCTTTCTGGAAGGCCAACATGCCCCCTCAGCGCAGGGGGAATGCTGTTCCACAGGGCGGAGGCTAGGGCAGAATATGTATATGTATTATGCAAACATAATACGTGTAAGACAGGTGAATTGGATGAACTAATACCTGTATTATGGGAGGATGCTAGGAACTTGGTTCCTTTCATTTCTATGATGTGCAGATGTCTTGCTTAATCTAAACTGATAATTATAATACACTGATAATATATCATTTAGCTTCATTAAAAAGCATTCAGTGTTTTTAAAATATACCTAATTATAAATGTATAAGGTTTTTTTCCTTTATTTATTCTCTGTAAAGTCCTATTTAATGGAATTGCTGTAAAATTGATTTGTAAATAAGAATCTTTGTTCCTTTCATCCTGAAATCTGTTTTGTTTTGTTTTTGTTCTGTTGGTTAAAGAAAAGCTTTTAAGAAAGCTCTGTCTGACATTTCTCCCCCACTGGAACAGGAGGAGGACATCTTCCTTGAATGGTAATCTTTAAAAGAAGCCACAGAGTTCAGGGGAACCAAGGACGTGACTGGGGAGTTGAAAGACAGAACTGCCTGCCATTCAAGGAATGCAGAGGGTAGCAGGAATGGGTGAGATATCTGTCTCATGCTTCCCAAATGTCCTATAGCATTAACCAGGTTAGAGCTGAGAGAAGAATCTTTCCTTTTAAAATGGATCAGATTGAAATGTTAATGGAAAAATATTTCCTATTTCAATCACATACAGAAGCAGTGGGACAAAGTTCTCCCACTGTTCATGCTCATGCCGGGGAAACCAGTAGAACTCTGGTCAGTTTCAACTCGGCTCCCCAATAACTCAAGCTGGCAAGTGCTGCAGAGGAATGGCAGAGCTGGCAGGAAGTGGCTTGCAGTCAGCAGCATTCACAAGTATCCCCCAGGGTATATTTTGAAAGTCCCCCCCCTCCAGTTGCTGCCTAATTTGCGTGGTGTTTTCATTCTGCATTGTATTTGACGTTATATGTTTTCATTCAAAGTTTATCTTTTATTGTAAACTGCACAGAGAGCTTTGGCAATTGGACAGTTTAACTTTTTTAACAAGAAAATAAATAAAAGCCAGCAATACATCTCTTTCTCAATTTAAATTGACTGTCAACCTTTCTTCCCTCCACCCCCGCCCCTTTTAAACCATCGGGTCTGGTTAGTTTACCCGTGTATATAAGGAACCTGTATAAAGCCTGGACAGTCTTTATGGGCGGATACCTCTGTGGAAATCAAGGTCCTATTTTCCCTGCAGCCCAGGCCAAAATGGCCTTGAGGTGACTGAAGGGGATGCGGCACGGCGCAGCAGCCTAAAGAGCCAACTGTTGGAAGAAAAAGTTATCTTACCAAGTCCATTTCTGAGCCGGGAGTAAAGACACTGACGAATTGCATGAAGTTAGGAGATTTTTTCTTCACCAAAGGGCAGAAGCAATGCCAGCAAGCAGTTAGGTGGGCAGCCGCACTGGGCCCCCTCCCCACAGTACATTATATACCTTCTGTTACATTCAAACCCACGATGTCATGACTTTCTGATCCAATCAAAGCCAGTTACCTTGATCCA